GACTGACAATTGAAGAAGGAGAATAAAAGTAAAGTCTTAAAAGTAACTCCAATGGTCATATCCGTGATTTTGCCATCACCTACAAATATACTAACTCCATATTTAAGAATTCTGAAATCCCATCATCTGACCATAACCTATTGGCTTTTCACCTCTCCAGCTGCATTCCCTTACAAAACCATCCTCTATGCCCATACTGCAATCCCATGACCCCTCCAATCCCTTGACCTCTCAGTTCTATCTCAGGTCATCACCTCTGCATCAGCCACTCTCCTCTTTTCTCCATCTTGAACCTTTGGTGAACCAATTCAATTCTACATTGTCCCTTCTCTTAGATCTCTAGCCCTCTTATAAATTTTCTGATTATGACCCGTCAAACCTCTGTCCTGGCTCACTCCCACCTTTGGGGGGATTCCCACCTTTGCTTTGACACATATGCTGCTGAACAAAGTAGAGAAAAGAATGCACCCATTTGGAATGGATCTACCACAAATTTATGTTACACAACCTCAACTGGACCCTCACTGCTGTTAGGCCTTCCTTATCAACACATTATCCTACTCTCCTCTGTCGCTCTTCCAAACCTTTTCATCTCTCCTCAAACTTCCTATAGCTTCCCCTCCCCACTCTCAGTCACTCTCTCCTCCTTCATTTCTGTCACACATGATGACATGGCCTTACTCCTTCAAAGGCTAACCCCTCTACCTGCTCAAACAATGCCATTCCAAACTATTTCCTCCAATAAAATATCCCCTCTGTCATCCCCCACTCTGTCACTTATTTTCGGTTTCTCCCTATTTGCTGGCTCGTTCCCTATTGCATACAAACATGCTTATGTCTCCCCCATCCTAAAAAAAACCCTCATCATTTTTCCAGCCCTGCTAACTTTCATCCTATATTTCTTCTGCCCTGTGTTGCTAAACTCCTTGAAAAGGCTTCTTTCTCTTCTCTCACTCTCTCATAACCCCTTATAATCTGACGTCTTACCTTATCATTCCACCTGCTCTTTTTTAATAATTAATTAATTAATTTTTAGTTTTCAACATTCATTTCCATAAATTTTTTCCCTCTCCTCCCCAAGACGGTGTGCAATCTGATATAAGATCTACTTATACATTCATATTAAGCATATTTTCACATTAGTCATAATGTAAAGAAGAATTAG